GGGGGGGGGGCTAACATTGTTTTAAAGAAAATTATCATGTTAGTTTGATACTCTGTGTATGTTTCCCAAAATACGCCCACAATTTCCATATGTATATTGTTAATAGTTATATTTTTTATAATTCCGACGCTCAAATTTTACAAATCAAAAACAAGAAATCAAAAATTTACGGGCTTCTATCTCTAAAACGGTTGAAGTTGAAAATATCAAAATAGTCTTTAACATCTTTTTAACAAAGAGCTTCAAGTGCTGTTTTTAAGGCTATAGAGTTAATTGAAAATCATATAATCCGTAACCGCTAAATAGATAGAGTAGGAAGAAGTAAAATTTCGAAATTTTAAGAACCCGCTTAAGTTCACAATCTTATATCTGGGAAGCGGTTCAGAATATCGGAATACTCATTAGAACCTTTTCGATAGAGCGCCTTAAGAGCTGCCTTAGGCTCTATAGGCTTGAGTGTAGTAAATTACTAAGATTAAAAGAGATAGAAGTGAAGTTAAACATACACCACAATATACCACACACAAAATTATACAAATGTTTTCAAGAACTTACGTTTATTGAATTGAATGAATTACGTTTATTGAATAAAACATTTTAATCTAAGATTTTTAGAACCTTAGAAAATAGAAAAATCGAGTCCAAAAAGTTCAGTAAATTGCGTATGCGCGTATTTTATTTTATTTTTTGTCCGATTTGTGGTTTAACTATGTGAAATGTAAGTTTATTTTCAATAAAATGTAATTTCAATGGTTCATATCTGGTTATCGCTAGCCAAATACACGCTTTTCGTCTAAAACGTTGAAAACAATATTCTATGAGTAACTAGTATATTTTTACTCAAATTCTCTCTCTATTCTAGACTTTAAACATATGTTAATACAAAAAAGCTTGAAACTGACGAATAATGAGTTTAGCCTGCAGCTGCATTTTCTGCACCAAACAATGAATTGCTCTTAATCTGATTTGCTGCATTGGAAGTGGACAACTTCAAAGAAAACCCGAAGATATTAGAATATTTGATGGTTAACGTAACTATATATCTGAAAGAATGTCGTAAAAAGTAATGTACAAAGTTACGGAACCTTTGGCCAAAGCCTATTTGCTGATATCACAGTAAGATTCTTTATTAGTGAACTTATATCAAGTTACTTATTGAATAATTCAATTCTGAACTGCCTAATTTTTAGAACCTTTCACGCAATAATAGAAGCTTTGTTGGAAACAGTTAAAGTTTCACATAATAAAGGCACGAAATGGAAAAAAAAACATTTAGGGCAAAGCTACATGCCTATTTTGCCCGATCCTGGAAAGTTTCGTTCTTTAATCCCATTTTACTGAGCGAAAAGCATTAACTTTTTCGACTTTATATTTTCTGAAATTTGTCTATTAAAATATGCCTATTTCGTAGACCCAGAACCGAGCAAACTTTTAATAATTTCCAAGTAATTCAGTGTTCAATTACAGTTCTATAATTATACTTGACCTGATAAAGTTCTGATATAGAATACTCAACAGGAAGTTGTACTATTAAAATAAAACATTTGGTTTGTTTGGAAACTTCTCATTTTATTTCTAGGTTTTATCCCAGATTCACCAATTTGAAACTACTTTAGTAGTTCAGAGTTAAAGTTTCAGGGTCGGGTCGTAAAAAATTTACGGCCCTCACGATGAGCAGAAAATCGTTAGCTTCGCTGTTTTGCATATTTATTTTTAAACAGCCGCAATTCAATCGGCAGGTGAATTCTAAGCTGGAAAATTTAAATTGATTTTACGTTATTTGGTTCAGTTGCCCTAATTTTGTATTTCATTATTTATTTCACACTTTTTATAAACTTCGAGCTTCTCTCTTCTCTTTCTTTGCCCTTTTTATGGCCTTAAAGGTTTTTAAAACTGGCTAGTTTTTTAAAAACGTTTCCACTGACCATTTGACAAAAAATAACTGAAACGTTGGGATTAATATCACCCTTAATTAATTAAAATTAATAATAAATTAAAAAAGGAAAAACCGGTGTTTTTGATTCTTTTGCCTGTGCTCCTTTATTTCCCTAAAGTAAAAAAAACAACTATTACACAAAATACTTCTTTGACTTTTCTTGATTTTTGTATTTATTTATGTTTTATAAATCTTACCCAAATCCTACTTTGTTTCTTAATTTTATGTTATTTATTCTACTTTTAAATGTATAACAAATTGAAAAAAACAAATCATAAAATAAGATACTGACAGCAATTCTGATGAAAATTATCATTATTTAAATAAACATTGTAAATGAGAGAATTGTACACCTCATGATTAGTTTAGATGCATATTCAGACAACCACGTGTCAGATTTTACGAAAAAGAAGAATAATAAAAATTAACGCAAAAGAAGAGAAACATTAAGCGCAATAGTTGACAAAAATAATGCAAAAATGCAAAATGAATGTAGCCAAAAAATTAGAAAAAATAGAGTCCAGTTGTTCAGAAAATTTTCGAACTCTTTTCAGTGAAACTAACGGCATAAAAAATTTGAACCTCTTTGGTTGATTGGTACATGTTGAAATAAAACATTTTTATTCTGTTATTGTTCAAGGATTTAATAACATTTTCATTAAAAAATATTCAAGCAGTTTCCCATATATTTTGACTATTTTGTTATTTGCTCCAACTGTTAATTAGTTAGTAGTAAAATGTGCAAATCACCTCATTCGTAATGGAAAGGCATCATTAGTTGGTCGCTTTAGATATCGCTAGTTAATAGTTAACATTTTTTTAAATTTTTTCCAGCCCTTTTTCATTATTTTCATCAGTTTATTGGTTTCTACAGTTTACTGACTTCCCATTCTTCCCAAACTTACCATCTTTAACTGAATTAACTTTAACTAATCTTTAACTGATTAAAACTCTTCTAAATGACATATAATCGATATGATTAAATGCCAAATTTTCTAAGGCAAAAATACGTGCAAAAATCAATAGAAACATAAAAATTTTCAATTTAAATATACTGGGTGTAGTACGTCAATTTTCAATTCAGTCACCAGCGAAATGAAACGTAAAATAACCACAATTAAATATGAAACATTTTTCAGTTCAGTTTAGTTCACTAGAACTTGTTCAAAATTATTAATGCGTACTTAAAATATTTATAATAATAAAAAGGTTCTTACCGTAACAAGCTGTTCTCTTACTACCTAGAAGCATTAATAGAAGCACAACGCAGAATATGATCAGTGCTAAAACCATAGCGAACAGACACTTTTCTTTAGATGGTTTTGATTGTGGCATCACCATGGTCTTTGCACTACTTCCAGACATTTGCACTACGGTGGATACTGAAGTTGGTCCTAACAGCGATTCTTGAGTGTGATTCTTGCTAGTCTGAAAGTCGAAACAATGCAAACTATTAGTGTTTAATTTACTTTTTACAGAATGTTATGCGTATATTTAAGCATTTCAATTTGGACTCAAATATTATAAAGTTCGCTGTAAGATATTACTGAATTCACCCAAAGATCTGATAATTGAATCTCTGGACGGATAAAGAATCTGCTCTGATTTAGCCTGAAATTCTAAGTCGATTGAGAAGCAAAGAGGATTTTTGTTTGTTTATGTCTATTCTTTACATATTTTTTTAAATGACTGTCAAACTCTTCATAAGTGTTCGTACTCAATAGGGTGTTTTCACTTTTTTTTAATGTTGATATATAGAAAGTAGTTATGGCAAACATTACACTGATATATTTTTTTCGCAAAAAAGTCTCCATAATAATTTTAAAGCGAATTTAAATTCAAATAAGATATTTTCCGCCAAAAACGCCGAATCCGTATCGTCGGTTACCTATCCCGATTGTTATTAGTACATTATCCTATTAGACATACAACAGCTCAGCTCAGTAGAGGTTTTCTTTAACATCAGAAAAGAAATGGAATAAACATACTAGTAGAAGATTATTTTCTGGATAGTCATATTTTGATATAATAATGCAGATAGTAATATAACTACGTCAAACTCCAGCTGTCTCAAGTTTAAAAACGCCATATCTTCGAAACACTTGAAAACATCAAATAACCGCAGATAACCACGTTTTTGATAGCGCAAGTTGCGACTTGTATTTTCATAATAAGTTTTTTTCCGAAAGCTCTTAACTTACAGTTTACTTGAGAGGAAATATTAATTGTTAAGAGACCGTTAAAGTTCAACAGTTTGGACCCTGGAAGGAGTTGAACCATTTAAATATATCGTTAAGATATTGTGGATGGAGCAACTCGAGAACTATACTTGCCGGACTTGTTTCTAATCTTTAAAGAGTAAGAAGCAGAAAACTTTTAGAGAACCATTCAATAGAACGTGTATGAGGCACTGAGAATAATTACAGAATTTGAAACAATTTTTTATAATAAACGTTTATATAGAAGTTATTTATAATATATAATAGAAAATATTTGAAAGCTTCACTCCCGCTATAAAAAAGAAAACATGTTCAGCTAAAAAATCTGGATGATTGCAGGATTCGCTTGGAAAACGTGTTTGATAAGTTTTGGTCAAACCATTTAAGATAGAAAAGCGTGCAAACTTACGAATTTTTACAGATTTTTCTTAAAATAATTACGTTTTGATTTTTATATAAAAAGACAAAAAAGCTCTACGGTTTTAGTATAAACAGGCGATTCGATCAGCTTTTATTAGCTAGAGTTCGGCTCTCAGCGTGGCGAAAAAACTGTCAAATTTCAACAGATAGATGCGAATAGATCGCGACTTTCGAAATTTTCACACAAATCACGTTTAATGTTAAAAGTAAAATTGTATTTTTGTTAAGGGCATATTTTTTTCTCAAATTTATTTTTAGAAAAAACCTTATTCTTCATAAAAAGTCCTACATGGTCTTAAACGTAAAATAAACTAGCAAATATAAAATTTGTATGTGCTTATGCGAGATTTAAAGAAATGTATGAATTTCGATTAAGAGTAAAGTTTCTTTATTTCTGACTATATCAAAAATTGTTAATAAAAAGAGATGATCACAACTAAAAATCAGATTTAAATTATTTAATTACACCCCCTCTAATGAGCTAATAATAATGATGCTAATAAAGTAATTGATAATTAATTAATTATTTGCTAAAATTTGTGGTAGAAAACAGCAAAACTTGTTTTTCCTCGCAAATAGGTGTCAATGCATATTCAAACTCGATGTTTACTTTTGATCATCTTTTTAATTAGAATTTTCGATATTGTCAAAAATAAAAATATCTTACTTTTAAGAAAAATTTATATATTTTGCAAAAACCTCTTTTCCGCCTGTTAGAAAAATGATATCTGATCTGATCATTTTAGGTTTTCGACCATGTAGACTAACTTTTTTCTTAATAGAATAAGAGAAAATTTTCAATACGGTTCTTACCGTATACATATTGTACTTGATAAATCATCATATCCACTAATCAAAGAAATGGACAAGTTGGTCATTCAAAAACTTCGTTAGTGACCACTATCTACATGCTCGCAAAACCTATTATGTTTCTGCTTTCATAATTTGTATATTTGTGTTTTTGAATTGATTTAAAAAACGTTTTTAAAATTCAAGTAATTCTTCTGGACTTTATGTAAAGAAAATAATAAGTTTTTTTATGAACTGTTCTCGTAGAGGAAAAAGAAAATTTGATTTGCATACTCGCGTAGTTCTTGCGACACGCTTCGTCTAAAATAAGTCAATAACTTACCGGTAACTCGCTTATATTTTAATATTCGAACGTCATTACAACATGAAAAGGAATCCACAAACTAAATTCACGTAAATACCTTTTTGATAAATAATGCTCTACTCGGTCAAATTGAGACGAATTATAGAAAATCGCATTCATGTTCCGAAATGAATGTGCCAGCATTTTCATGTAAATCATAATCGATTGAACCCACTTTTCCACGCTAGGGCTCTAAGCTATTTATTTTTATTGTTTGGGAAACCACTTGGATTCATAATAGCCACAAAGTCTTGTTTACTGTAGCAAACTTTCCTACAATTTTAACCACGCAAAGCAGGCGCACAGCTAAATAAAACATAAAACGAAACATTTTACTCCCAAAGCTGCTAACTTGGAAATTTATTTTCAAATGTTGTTTATGTTTGTCCAAATTTTGCATATATTTGTAAATTTTTCCAATGGAGCTTTTCACAATCACAGGAGCGCGAATTAAAAATTATATTGTAACAGATTATGAACGTACGCGAAACTATGTCGAAATAATTAATTAGTGAAGCTAGTTTTATATTTTATTATTAAACAATATGAAGAATTAAATTTGGATGGATTGGAACTAGCAAATTCCAGACTTTATTCTGGAGAATTCCATCTTCATTTATAATTTACTTTTCCTTTATAATAGCCTTAAGAGAATTATTTTATTTTGCCTTTAAAGAGTCGATAAGAGTCAATTTCATTTACTGCTCATTTAAAATTGTCGTTGAATTAATTAATTTCCCGTTGTCACCAATAAAAAAAATAGAAAAAATCGGCTCTTACTAATAGTGTTAGTAAATTTGCTAGTGAAATAAATATAAACAAAAATCCCATTTATTATTACCAAATAAATTGTGAGAAGAAAATTTCCATACAAAGTAAGACTTTTCGGGAAATCCACTCCCATTAAAATATGTAAATCACATGAAACTAAGCTTTCTAATTCGCTAAAAAAGAGCTAGAAATTAAATTAAATTGGCCAAAATTAAAATAAAATGCTCCTGATCTTGGGGTTGTATTAAAAATGATCAATTAGTTAATTATATTCTGATCTTTCCAGCGTCTTGAGACAAATTTAAGGTTTCAAGAAGGCAAATACCTAAGAGAACGTTAATGTTTACCAATTATGAGTTTGTGTAAATTTTAAATCTGATTATGGCGCTGTTGTCTCGACGAAACGTAATGAAATAATCGATATTCAAAATTTTTACTTCACACTTTGACTGAGACCCAGAAAAGATAAGAATATAATAACAATTACACGCAGTCAGAATCAAATAATTAAATTCAAATGAAATGAAGTCTACATGTGAGCTGTCTAGTAGTAGCCTATTTTTGTGTTCAAAAAGCGTATGTATAATACATTTATAATTGTATTATTTTGATATTTTCAGACAATGTTGAGCAATTCCATAAAGAGTGTTTTGCTACATATGTTAAAAATGCGACAAAATTACTGAAAATAACGATGATAATAAATATGTTAATTTTATCTGTAACATCGGTATGTCTTTTCCGTCAAACGATTATTTTCGACGAAACGGTATCAGATGTCTATAAATGCTATTAAAAAGCAAAACAGAGGAAGAAGCGCTTTGAAAAAGTTTGGATTAATTTTGCAAACAAGTCATTTGAAAATTACTGATTTTCCTGCTAAATAATCATTTGGACAATTTTTTGTAGTATGTCTGTATATTGCTTAACATGATTTTTTTTGGTAGCAAAAGAAGGCAATATATTAACTATAAACATGACGATGGTGGTTCGAACAGTTTAATTAATTGATGAAATAAACTCAACATTAATGAAAAAAATATTACCAATTGAAATAAAAAACTTTCATAGTTTCAATTCATTGTTTTCAGCATCTTCAACATCGTGCTAAACAAAGCATGCTAATTTTTATCGGTTTATTTATGAATCATACTTTGTAGCTAAAAAGTATATTTAGATAGTTTTTCATTATTAACATCATTGTTTTATGGTTCATACATTTCATTCTCTATCACTGCTATTCAGTTGCATATTTTTAAACGTATTAAAGGTATAAGTTGAGTAAAAAGAGTAAAGCAACAGAAATAATTTATCTGAAACAAATCACTTACCTTAAGATATCCGTTTTTTGCGTCTGAACATTTCCATTGTTTGTCGCTGAAGCTGACTTCCGACATTGCAGTTTGCTGTTGACTAGATTTGGACATCTATGTTTGTTACTGGCAGATGCAAATCACATCTGCAAGAGAGCAATTAATATTTTTACATGTTGCCTTTCTCACATTTTACTCTGAAATATGAGGCTTTGTGGCAAATTAAAAAAAAAAGGTGCAAAAACTGTGTAGATGTGTTAATTTATGAAAGCGACAAGATGCCGGTATTTAAATATTTTTTTAAATAAATATGAGTTTTACAATAACAAAAACATATAATTGTACATTTTTATGTAAAGTGACAACAGAAAAGAATTCTACTCACTATTTAAAAAATGCTGCAAAACTACAAAAAAGGTCAAAACAATTGGGATTACCGTACTTTTATATCCACTCGCTTCGACCATTAGTAAGTTACTCCCGAAAAAAAAACGCTTTTTAATATAATTTACATTATTATAAATGCGACATATGAATAAATTCGTATGTATATTAATCACATTTTTCTAAAAGTGCGTCAGCATTGTCCTAATGAAATGGATAATGCGTGGCATTAATTATAATCGGTTTGGTAGCAGTTAAGATACTTTGACGTAAACAAATTCTGTGGATTATTTCGGAAGCATAAACCAGATTTATTAAATTGAGCAGAAGAAAAACATATGTATGATGATTAGTGTATCAGAGATTTGCAATGCCAAATTAGAATTCAGTATGATTCACTTAATCGAGCTATCATTCAATAGATAATTTTGATCGTTTTTTTTTAATAAAGCAGACATTCAACAGTATTTTTGTTCAAAAACTTATTACGCAAAAGTTTCCGAGTATTCAAATTTTGTTAAAATACTAATTTTAATTACCATATTTTGACCGACCGTGAAACCCTTTATAGTCTGATTAATTACTAATATTCATGCCAATTTGAACGAATGACACCCACACGTTAATCGCTAATTAAAACTGTAACGATAAAGCGAAAAAATCACCCCACAAATATCAATTAAAGGAGATTAAATTTGAGATATAAAGCCAGTACATTTGATAAAAGAAACTGTTATATTTAATATTAGTATTTCGTGTTTTGCTGTTAAATTTAGGTATACAACGTTCAGTCACTGAATATAAGTGGCACACTTGTTTCTTATTTCCAAAGGAACAAAGGTGAAACTCCTAAAACTTATCCCAATAAGTTCAATCCTGCAATTAATCTATTCGACTAGCTGATCCTAGTTTGGCGATAGTTGTTCATAGACTGTTGTTATAGACTGTTCATTAATTTCTGAACGAACAAAATTTAGATTTGCGTCGCAACTGAGACATATTTGAAAATGTTTTGAGGCATTTTTGCAGAAAGTTGTATTTTACTTTGATTTTAAAAAGGGGCGCATTTACCTATGATATAAATATAATCATATTGATATAAGTAATACATCCGATATTGACAACTTTGAATTGGGAGGCTGCTTCCAAACTTAGTTTTTACCTGTTCAAAAAAGGCTTTAAATTATTAGATAATTGTCTTCGTAAAGTAAATGTCTAAATCGACTGTTAAAATCTCGTTTAAAACCATTAATCATTCTGCTAAATGGAGTAATAATTTAATGCTAACTTAGTGCTATAAATTATTGATTTTGATATTGAGAGTCATATAATATTTTGATCTAATCTAGAAAAATGATGAAACTTAAAGAATTAAAATTAAATCAAAAATTAATTTGTTATACTAATACACTTGTCTATGTTTTAACAATATTTGGTTTTTTAACAAATTTTCACAATTTACGCTCCAAAATGCTGGATTTAATTGCTCTAAAATCCCCTTCAAAATATACCTGAAGCGCTCAGATGCAATAGGAAGACAGCCCGGGCGGTTCTTTGCCTAGATGTTTTTTTTAAACCGGGACTTCTAAGTGCAAATATGAAAACTATTATAATTCATCCTTTACATAAAAAAAACCGCAATCGGATCGCTGAACACGTAGCCTCAAGAAAAACAATCATTTATACAAAGAAATGTTGATTCGTCGAATTTGGCATTGAGAACGGTTTGAGAGACCGTATAATATAAAAAAACTGAAATGCTGCCCAAATGGGGGTTATCAAATGACCAAATGTTTGTGTTATGAGGATCTAGCTATACCATTGCGAGAAAAAGTAGTTGGATCTATGGTCAAGATATCGGTCATAAACCGACAGTTTCAGTCTTTTCGGCAAATAAACATTCATAACATATTACTCAGCTCCGGGAGTGTGGCGGAAGGAATGCTTGAACCAATTTGCATTCAGGCATTTTTTTATAGTCTTACAGTCTCTAGAACCAAAAAGTATAAAAAATCTCTTATTGCATAAAGAAATATAAAAATGTCTTATAATATATATCATAATTATCACATATTTTTCATGTATTTTAAGTTTAACTTAGTGCATATTGAATTTGAAAGAAAAAACGATTTCTTAAGCAGTTTCACAGATAAACTTTGTGTGCGTTTCTTTCCATGTTCTAACAAAAAACAAACCATTGATTTTCAGAAAACCAATCCAAACTATAACGAATTTTGAAAGCAAAATAAGTCTTGAACTAGAAGAGATGGGACGATAGAAGAGAACCAGATGGAAGCGAGTTCGAAAATTTAAAAATCATATATTGGCAACGCGTTAAAATAGCTAATCAGTTCTAATGTTAAAAGATTACATGTTTTATATCAGCTTTAACTTTAACGGTTAAAATGTGTTTAAAGCGATACTAGAATTTTATTGATTAATTCGAGTCTGTTTTTAAAAACGTTATTTCACAAATCAATACAATATTTCAACGTGAACATGGATCTTATTGACTAAATGCTCATTTCTACTGTGGCTTCTTTTATAGTTAAATCATGCTGATCCCTTGTTTGTGACCTCAGTAGATACAATAATCTTTGAATACTATTTCAAAAACACACCAGATATAAAATGCCTCAATGCGAGCAATTTGCTGACATTTATTTATGGCGAAATGCAGAAGAAACATTTTATTGGCAAAAAGGATTTTATTGACAAACTTTCCAAATATTTCGTATAAGATGCCAGTTGCAATCTGAGAATTGAATTTGCCAACAAGTTACGAACCTTAAGAATATTTTCAGACACTGTGATGATGACTGTGTAAAAAATGTAGGCAAAACCTAGGTATTTAAAGATAGACAATACAAATGATCGAATTATTTCAACGTCGCCTAGGTATGAACAAATATAACGGCTAGAAAGTTTGCATTACATATAACAAACTAAATACATATAGTTTATAGAAAAAGTTAAGTTTCTTCACTCAAAGAAAGTCTACATTTTACTGTTATAAAATTAAAACAATATTCAAGTGTTGTGTGTAGCGGAAGGAATAACTAAAACATAATACCGGAATAAATATTTATATTTTAGTTTTGCGAGTATTCTCGTTTCTGTGCATAACTTGACCGACTAGATATTTTTAAAGCTTTTCGGTCGTTTCCGTTGCAGTGATAAATCCAACACTTTCGAATGGTGTAAAACTCGTTCGTGCTTGTTTGGATATATTACTGTCCTGACTTGTTGTTTTGTGAAACTTCTCTAAAATTTAATTTAACATGTTTTCAAAAACCTACTTTTTACAGCTGCTTCCAAACTGTGCCATTTAAATGGCAAATATATTGCTAGTTGATTAAGTTAATCTGCTGCTTAAATATTTAGGCGTAAAGGTGTAATCGTAACAAAACTGATAATAATGATTAATTAAAAAAAAAATAATAAAAATTTCTTGCTCTTAAAAAAGAAAGGAACGAAAAGCTGATAAAAAACGTGGCTCGGTGTTTTATCTATTATTTGTTATGAAAAATGAAGAATTACAATTTCTGATCCCTCAGAAAATAGTCTATTATTAGGCTAAAAAATATAAAAAATATACGAAAGTCTTAATTTTTAAAGACTATTTAATTTAATTAAATAAGGTTAGTTAGCATAAAAACGAAAAGACGTTGAATTTTTATAACAATTCAGATTCGCCGCTTTTTTAACTGAGTGTACAGATGCGAAGTGATTCAATATCACCAAGAATGCAGACGAAATTTCCTCTCAGACTTTCACCGTCTGGCGAACAACGAGGAAAATTTCGAACAATTTATGAAATACATTAAGCATATCAAGTCAATAAATTACCGGATATTTTCTTGATAAATATTTATTTATTATAAGGGGTGACTGTTAAAATTAAATTAAATATGTAATAACCCCCTTTTATTCTTTAATTTTAAAAGGTATTTAAGGAGGCTTGTTTTGAAATAAAGGCCCTGTAAAGAGACACAATATATAGCAAGTTAATGCACTTGTAAATATTATATAACATATTTTAAATGTGGGTTGTCTTCTGATCACAAGTAAAAATACTATAAAATGTATTTAGGAAATTATTCAGCAGTGGCAAGTTTGACCCTCTTGGTTTTTCTTTTTCGAATATTGTCTTATAGATCAACAGTTATAAATAATATGGGTTCCGGTTCTAAAAGCAAGCATTTTTCAAATTTCGGCGCAACACTAAGTTTCTACGTTAGATTCTTTGCTTATTAAATAAATCTGGGCAACTTTTTATTCATTTTTTTACTATTAAATTCTAGTAATGATTTAAGTTGAATTAAACTCCAATCCAAGGCGTACTGTTTGGTCAATTTATTTACCTCAAGACACCAAGTGAAAGTTCCTTTAATTGAAAAATGAAATATAAATCGCTCTTCCCTCCAATAAGTCTTTCATTTACTTACAGTTAAGCATAGTTTTTGTATTAATATTTTTTATTTTTCAACGAGTGTTTTGGGTTTTAATCGATTTGATAATGCTAAATCTAATAAATATAAAGCCATAATATGCTGATCGTTTATGACTATGATAAATCGCAATCAATGATAATATTTGTGTCTTTTTCATTTTAATCAAAGAAAAATTTGTTGAAAATTCGTTAATTTAGTTTCGCTTCTAGAATCGTTGATAACACCAAAGCTAATGCATTTGAGTACTTTTTTTATATCTTATATTATCCGGCCAAATTTATACTAATGTCTTCATCATTTGCATTTTTCAGTCCAAAAGCGAGATTTCCAAGTTCCAAAAAAGCACAGTAAAAATGTACAACAATAAAGAAACCACAAAGATTAAAAATTATCTTTAAACGTTTTCCAATGACTCTTAATTAAAGATGTTTCGTAGTTTAAAATTCGATAGCACTGAACTCTTGTTCTGAATTATTTAAATTTTTGTTTAGCCTTTGCTGTACTAAATCAAAGTAATCCCTCAGGTATATAAATTCGGATTTGGTTCGTTTTCACTTTTCCCACTGTGCTTGAAAAGTAAGATCCATCATTGCGTGTTTCGGTTGCTTATGTATCTTAATTAAGTCAATTTCTTATCTGCTATAGAAATTTTGTTAACAATTAAATTAAGTACACGATTTTTTTGGATATTAATTCAAAGCAGAAACTGTAACGCAACGTTTCTTCTCATAAGTTACAGCGCTCTCAAATATAAAATAAGTACAAACAATAGTGGCTCGTAATAATATGCATTTAGTGCAAGTTCTTAAGAACGCTTCATAATTCCTTCTATTTTTATCACGTTGATGTGCTTACCATTCTCCCTTTCTGTTCCGGAAACGACATCAACACAACCAATAGAACTACAGCTTAAGGCTTAAGAATCGCTGATATTTTGAGGGAAACTCAGCTGAGAAACACGCCAGTGTTGTCGAATCGATAACTGCTGCACTTCTGCCGGGGGTGAGCAGAAACTACCTTATATTTTATAACAGTTTCTCTTTAAACCACCTGTGAATCGCCCAGTTTCGTGCAATCCCGATTGCCTCCGAGCTGGATCACTCGTCCTGCCAATTGAACCTGGGGTTTGCTAATAAATTATTTTTTTTATATACAGAACGAGGTAGCAAAGTCTCCGAAAATATTATAGAATTCGTTCTATACGCAGTCAGTCTCTACGTTTGTTTAGGGAAGGTTAATTAGATAATTTATTTTAAGTAAATTATTATACCAATGATACTTTCATCAGTACTTTTTTCAGCAGGTTCCTACTTTTATACAAATTTAATAATTTAATTGCTACCTGAATGTTTTAACTGGGTATTGATTTGCATCAACACAATATATATTTTCTTCTTTACAAGTTTAAAGGCAATACAATATTAAAGTCATTTTTGTCCGAATTTCTACAAAACAACTTAAGCCAATGTTTGGTAAGCAAGGGTGGTTGCTCTCATCAACTGAAAAAAAAAAAAATTAAATATTAAAAGTTTATAAATATATAACAACAAAATGTTCCTGTCCTTTAAGACTCTTGAAAAATAATTGCATTTTAATCTGAAAATTATTTCTAGTCACACAGGATTTTTTACCATTTACCATTTCCAAACTTTTTTGCAATCACTATTAATGGATTTTCTCAGTGCATCGGGAACTGTGCACTTTTCCTTTTAAAGTCTACAGGCAAAATCGAATGTTTTCATGTTTCTTCCAAAGTGAATAAAATGTGTTCGCTTTCGTAAGGATGTGCGATTTACACGGTGCCGAATCGAATGTGGTCATGGAACTTTCCAGACTTAACCAACCTCATTCTATTCTATATATCATACTGAATGCACAGATACGCTGCTTTCACGCCTTGGAGCGGAGTTCTATGCTATTAGCCCCGAACAAAAGAACTCGCTATCACACTGTGGCACTTCAGCTGTCGAAAAGGAGGCCAACTGAAAACATAGAAAATCCTACATATAATCATCCTGTTCGTTGCATTAAGTTGATACAGAGCGAGCTGAGATTAGTGAGCATTTTTCTTAATTTAGAAAACGTTTGTTGGAAATTAATAGAGGATGCTAAGGCTAAACGAGCTTATGAAGCATAGATTAAGACTTAAACATGGCTTCAGTATTAATCTATGTTGTGACAAGTGATCTCAAAAGGTCCTATTAGTAACTGATTAAATGTGACTTAAGGTGAATATGTTCTTATTATAGTGATTTTTAAAATGTAGCCAATTTTTAAGGAAAATCTAAACAACTACAACAATTTTAACCCACTAATTCGCCGCGTTTCTGTCCTTGCAAACCAGTGTTGCTCATTTGATTGCTGCAAATGTATGTTTTTCATGTCTCCAGAGGTTAATTTTATTTTTATCCTGTTTTTTGCAACTTTACCTGATCGCTTCGATAATGTTCACCCTAGATGTGAACGGATCGTCTGAAAACATTTTCTATGGTCCACGGTTTATAAGCCCAGAAAACTTAAATTCGGTCAGCAATTGCTTATGTCGAGAAGACTTATCTGTAATTTTATCTTAATGCGCATCAAATTCTCATTTTATCAAGGCCATATTTTTCTTGAACGTCTTTCTAGCAATAGTCTTAGTAGCAATGATAAATGTAAATAGCTTAAAATTTATTTTTCGGTAAGATTTCATTTAATGGATGTGATTTTATCTGTGTACTGAAAAACTTCATTCAATAAAATGATTTTCCGTGATTTTTAGTGGCTTTACATAGTCGCAAAATTAAAAACTTGATCAAATTCGCCTTTGATGGAATGAAATGAGCTTCTAATACCTCGATATTCCTAATATTTGGGTAATTATTAACTTTGGGGAACTAAATTTAGGTCGAATCTGACGGTACCGTAAAACAGCAATTTCGATTGTTTGAGTTTCCAATATCAAAATTTGACGCTCGTCGATTTGCGCTAGCTGGGCCGCAAAATTTATATTTATGAGATGAAAACTGCTGGGTTCGTTAATGCCCTAATGTGGATTATAGATACAAGGGAAATTGAAAATATCTCCGCCTCCTATAAATATTGTTTACTTTTATTACATCAACTTTCTTTTTTGTTTTTTGGGACAAAACTTTCTCTACAGTATCAGAATATATATTTCACCAGCTAGTAGCACGTGAAAGATTATCAACCAGATTGAAATGGGATTTTGTAAGCTGGATGCCAATCGATAACAAAATTACCCAAAACAGTCGCTTAATCAGGTGATGGTTTTGTGTGTTTGCTCTGCGATCTACGGTTTTGAAAGGTCCAATCTTCAATGTGTAGCTAAAATATTTATTTTCTCTGCTTGTTGTTGAAATTGTTAAAAATACATACCCGCTTTAGAAGAATTGATATGCCTTTTCATCAGTTTCGATGCAAAATACACATTTGTGCCTTCATTGACACCAATAAGTACAATAGGCATATTTTACATATAAATTCATCTTAGCAATTTCATATTTACAGGGGAATCGTTTAATATGCTTTAAACTGCATGCTCATTTTAACGAGAACATTTCCTCAGATCGTTTTGTTATTTGTTGAGAACGGTTCTATCACGTGTTAACTGGTCGTAAAATGATACCTAATGGGCTGTTATGATTTCGTTTTAATTTACTTTTAATTGACAACAGAAAATGTTAATAGCTCAAAGTTTCCAACTACTGCTCCGTTCCACTGTTCAATTCATTGACCAGAAAACATTCCGTCTATGTATTATCTTCAACAGAATAATGCGTAATTTCTCCGTTTTGTAGTAATGTTAACTGGATTTTATTATCAAGATCACTCTGCTCTAGATATGCTTCCGAAATTACAAAACCCTAATCAAATTCGCCTTTGTTAGAATGGAATTTATGATATATTAATCTCCTGAGATTGGTAATATTTCGGCAATTACTAATTTCGCGGAACTAAATTAAGCTCAGCTTTGGCGCGTTCCTTCAACAGCAACTTCGAGTGTTTAGCTTTCCAATATCCGAATTTAAGGTTCAACTTCATAGATTTGTACCAGTTGAGTCTTATAAAAGTTGGTATTGAACGGAGAAATGCCTTCTTCGTTGATTTTTTATGTGGATTTTAAATATAAAGAAAATATCGCGTCTTTTTATTAAGTCTTCTTTAATTTTTACATACTTTTATCCTCAGTTATCATTTTTGCAACAAACTTGGTCGGAATAATAATCTTTTTTCCGAGAGGGAAGTGAAAATGCATTCTCATAGAAAGGTTCCAAATTAGTGGAGTGGAGCAAGCGGTTATTTGAAAGCCCGTAGATCCTGGGACTTACTACTACGTATTTATTATTATATACGTCTTGTTCATGTATGTAGCTAGTCGCGGTCTTCTCTCATGCCCTCCCTCATTCTATGATCTTCTGGGTCTTCCTCCCATCTTCCGTCCTGGTGGGTCCATTCTCATCATCTGTCTAGACCTTTTTAACTCTCTCTTTTCTATCCATTTCCTAACTGTTTCTTCCTTGTGTTCCCTATCTTCTCTTGGTCTTACGTATTCATTGCTAATTCTTTGCAATTTAGATCCTTGACTGAGTTCATTTATTGTCCACAATTCACTTTCGTAGATGGGAACAGACGCCCCCACTGCCCGTTCTATATGTTTTTTCACCTCTTTTGAAATGTTCCTTAAATCCAATAACTTTACGACGCTGTTCAATACGATTTTGTATTGCTGTTGTTCCTAGTCTTTCGTTTATATGTATCATTACCCCAAGGTACTTGAACTTGATGATAATAAACTGAGCACTGGAATTTGTCACCATATAATCTGTTTTGGAGGTGTTAATTTTTCATCAGTGTTTCTTGATCAGTAGTTAAACATTTAGAATAACCTTTGAAGCATAACTTACATATTTAAAAAATGAATAATAATTAATATTTACTATTTAATTAAAGTCTCAACACTACATTTTGTCGAGTTGCAAAAGCTTCTACTTTGTTTGTTTGCACTTGTTGGCTGCTGTTTTTCGAATAGTTTGGTAGCGTAACTAACAACGAAAAATTTTTAACAGCTAATTTAACATCAAATTGAAGACATGAAAGGGGGGACATTAAGACATGGGAGTACACCAATAACCAATAATGAGGCCAATATATTATTATTTGTGTATACAAACCGCCGCATTCAAGATCATAACTTCTGTTATAATTTATCAAAAAAATGTAGACTTAAAAGTTCAAGTCTTTCAAATAAATATATTATAAAGGTTCATATACGCTCTAGAAAGCTATCTGAACCAATTTTATTTCGATTAATTTGACGCAAGTAATTGACAGTTTTTCTTTTATCAGGTCAGCTTTTCCTTCTTGTTTGCAGCCAATAATCAAAGAAGCCACCCATTCCTACAGCACAAAAGCTTTGAAATTTTTCACTTACATAAGAGCAAGAAGTTTAAAATAAAACACCAGAGTAATTCGTTTAGTTACTATCTAGTAGAACTTCTTAAATAAAGACGAAAACAGAGATGAAAGGTGAAAGGTTGGACACATAAAGTGTGTTTTTTTACTAAAAACCGTCAGACAATATTATTCAAGTAAAAATCGTCTTTCCTAGTATCATTCATTTCTATGCTACTTTTTCAACTGCTTTACTTTGATTAACATCAACCTCTTATCAATATTGAAAATAATGAACAATATTGAAGTTGATTGGTTTGTTTGCACTTTCATTGTCTAACAGATTTGTATATTTTAATAATTACCGTGTTTCTCTCTCTTTGTAAGATTTCAATTCAAACCTACCCAGATTTTATTCATGATAGTGAGCAAACAATGCGTTTTTAACACATTTCAAGAATAACTACTGATTAAAAATATATCTAGAAATTACTGAAGAATCACAAAGTTGGTAATGAGCACTGTAACATGACACGCCCTGTATAAAAAGCTTTGGTTGAGAACAGTGCAAATCGCGGTCTCCGAGTTTCAAAGTTATTCCCCAATTCTCGATTTATTCCATTTGGTTGGTTCACACTCTATTTCTCTCTTCTTCATTACCGTTGCTTTGGAAACAATTATTGGGGATAATCACCAATATTGATTAAACTATCCTGACAAAACCCATCAGATAAAGTTAGGCTGGCAAGTGAATGTCAGCAATTTCGGAAAAATGTTGAATCATAAATCATTGCATACCCAGTTAAAACATCATCATTTGGTGGCTGTTCCTCCACCTCCAGCAAGGTAAGTAAAACCAACAACGTTTGCAAAAAGTCCGTTTACATTATGCAGTCATTATTTAAAGTTTGGCAAAAGATCATTTGGAATGTCAATTGCTATCCATCGCTAAGCTTCAGAAGACCCACGCAAATTTGTTTAGGAAAAGTAGAAGTTCCGTAACGTTTGAGATACGGGAAACTTCTGTGTTCCGATAGTAAACTAAAGCACAGCTTTGATCGAAAAGCACAATAGGTTAATAAAAGTTTCTTGGTTTTCAAGCAAATTTAGAATTTATGCTTAACTCAAACTACCTATGCAAACTACATCTACCCCATAGGTTATAGTACATGATGTGGTGTAATCTGGCAAAGTTAACTGTTTAATAGGAATTTTTTTAAGTTTAATAGGAAATACACTCATTTTTTAAGTAGCTGCTACATTTTCTATAATGGGAATCACGCAAAAATTGAATTTAAAAAATTCTATATAAAAAACATGGGTATTGAAATGCAGATTAAATCATCTCTAACGAATCCAACTTGAACCAAAACTGATATCTACTACCGAGAAACATTATTTCGAATTATTTGAAGTGTAGAGAGAGAGAGAGAAAATAGTTAGTGTAGAGAATAATCAAAATTGAATATTTACTGGAATAAACAAATGAAGCGTAACGAAAAACTAAAGATTTTCTAATAAAATATCGGTTCACTTTCGTTTAGCCGTAACAAATTATAATTTTTTGCTCCTAAAAGTTTTTACACACAATATTTTAATTTTTGGGGATTTAGAATAGCCCAAATGAAATATGTTAAAACTTTTTTGGCTTAGCATTTTAATCATTTCACCGAGCATTGCCAAAAACACCAAACTTTTCGCGTGGAAATATGTTATTTGCGTTTTGCAAGACAGTTTTGCAGGGTTTGAAATGAGGAAAATTAATTACTTAAAAAAGTTTCATTTTCGCATTCTAAACAGTTGAGATATTATGCATACAATGTCAACGATGTGACTAACAATAACTAGCAATTACTGTTGCTTAAAATTATGAAATATTTTTAGAATATTTTTTCATGTATATTTTTTACTTGTCTTGAAAAAGCTAAATACAACCGCAAATTTTAATATATCGCAAATGAGCAAAGTGCTGTAACCCATAAACACAAGAATGATCTATTCCAGGGGTCCGCAACCTTTTTTGGCCGCGGGTCAAAATTAACCAAAATGCGAGTATTAAAGAGACGTTTGGGTCAGAGATATTATCGTATTAAAACAGCATTTTAGTAAATAATACGATATATTTTATTAAGAAAATAATTACAAACATAGTTGAATAAACTTTATTTATAAACTTTCTCTACGATATGAATGGCTCCCCTGATGTTGAACTTGTGACGTTAATTTAGTCAAGTCTGGTTTATAGTTAGTCGTTTTAAGTCGAACAAATCATTATACTAAAATATATTTCATTAAAAATATTCAGGCAGTTTCGCATATAGTTTGCAAATTACTTCATTCGTAATCGAATGGCATCATTAGTTGGTCGTGTTTTCATCAGTTTATTGATTCGGACAGTTTACTGACTTCCCAAGCTTACCATCTTTAACATAATTTTTTAAATTTAAATAATAAATAAATATTATTAAATGCCAAATTTTCCTAGGCAGAAATATGTCCGAAAATCAATACGATGGTTCAGTTCCATGCAGCAACAAGCAAGTGAACAGCAAGTCAAAATTCAATGTTAAAGATTACAATTTTGAAACAACAACAGGCGAAAGTCTGATTCATTTATTTGTTCTGCGATTGTCGTTAGCAGACCGTCTCATAACAATAATAAGTCACAAAAATTACTTGTTTTAATAATTTTAAAGACGTTAATAATGATTTTGTAACTTGTTGCCTTATGAAGCTAGTAATTAGGCGACTTGTCCACTTTGTTTCCTATGTTGAGGTGCCCGTCTTTTAATCAGTAAGATACAGATTTATTGTTTTTTTATATATTTTTTTGTAATAGAAAACTTTTAACGTAAATTATACGAGGTAAATAGACTAGTCCTATTCCAACAACAGCTTTATTATATTCAACCTGCTTCAAAATATTCTACTTGGGTTAGTTTGGGTTAGAGAAATTATTTTGATAATTGGAGTGAACTAACTTTAAAGTAAAATTAAATTTTAATTTAATGGTTTTTTTGGAATAATTGTAAATAATATACAGGGTGTCCCGTAACATGCACATGATCAAAAGGATCCTGTGATATTCTTTGGATCAAAGGACGACGATCTGACCTAACTTTTATTAACAAAAAATGTCTCTTCTGCTAATTGATAAGTTCATTTTCTTGTCCGCTATCGAATCATTGATATTGATAGTCAAAGTTCTTCATAAAAATTATATTTTTTGAAATATCGGTAGAATGGTACGATGTATTTTAGTCAAACTCGCTGTGAATTTGTTCTTATGTAAGACTCATATTTTGATGAAACAATCGATTCATCCGTTTTGGACCAGTGGTGAATTCTTGAGTTTCGGGATACAAAAACAACCAGCACTTTTTATTTGGCGGATAAAATCAACTCTTTTTTTTGGTTGATGCACTAATCAATTATTCCCAATTTTGTGCTCTTTGTAAAATCTTGTAGCATTCATAGTTTTTGCGAGAAAAAATATTATTTTTTTTTAACTTAACATTGTTAGACATTAACTGCAAATATCGTAATACAAGGCATAAAATAATTATAAATCAATCTCACAAATTCGTTTTGAATGCCCTTTTTTTATGAAGATGTGACCGACATGGTCAAACTATTAGGGTTTTGCGAAGACAACTTGCGTGAAAGAGCACAAAATTGTGAATAAATGATTAGTGCATCAACCAAAAAAATGAGTTGATTCCATCCACGAAATAAAAAGTTCTGGAAGTTTTTGTATCACGACACTGTAAAATTCACCACTTGTCACAAACAGCTGAACTCGATTGTTTCATTGAAATATGAGTTTTACATACGAACAAATTTACAGCGAATTGCACCAAAATTCACCAAAAGTACCATTCTCCCAATATTTCAAAAAAGATAATTTTTCTGAAGAACTTTGACCATCAATAGCCAGACATTTTTTGTTAATAAAAGTTAGGTCAGATTGTCTTCTTGATCAAAATAATATCGCAGTACCTTTTTGATCATGTGCTTACGGGACACCCTGTATAATAATAATAAAAAATACAGTAAATAATTTCATAATAATAAAATTATCCTCATCAAATAAACCAAAAAATTCTAAATATCTAATTTTAAGCAACAAGTTGTAAACTACTAACCCAAACTAATCCACTTGTGTATGTGAGAAAGTGTGTTGCATAGATAAGAGAAAATGGTTTTCCATTTTTTAGTCCAGATTAAGGAATAATATACAAGATTGAATAATGATATTTTATTGCACAAGAACGTGATTTTACAAGACAAATTAAAGGCGGTTTGTTTAATAAACTATGATTCAAAGATGTTCGCTTGCTTGCTGCTTAAATTCTAGGAAAAACATGAAAATTTATGAATATTTATGAATCATTGAGTGACCATTGTTCAAGAATTGCGAGACAGGTCAAATGATTTGTGATTGAAACAGTAACAGCTCGGATATTTGAGGATTTCGATAAGAGGAATTTTGTGATTTTTCAGTTTTATTCAGCATTATTTTCCTTTCATGTTTATGATGTAACTATATGAAATTTATACATTTTGCCATGATGCAAGCGCAGTTTTCAAATACCTCGTTTATCAATTGATCCTGAGAAAACAAAACAAGACAATATAAAGGCATTTCTCGCTTTAAACCCAATAAGCAGTAAATCACGTAAAGTTTATTTCCGAAGTGAAAGCAATATACAAATATTTTCCAGCACCCGCAGTCTTTATCCTACACGATGGAAAACATTTACATCAAATGGAACTAGAGAGCCGGCGTGGCATTTCAGTTATAAACATTTTAAAGACGTTTTTACCTTAAATATATCTACACTATGAATACGGTTTTTGATGCGATTTTAATTATTTTATCCAAGTTTGCAGAAGACCACATCACTTTACTTGTGACTGAAAACTGCACCCTTGAAAGAAAAACCGAACTTATAAAATTAAAATTTAATAAACATCCTGTAAAAACTGTACAACAAAAATTGCAACTTTTAGATACACTCTAACAGAATGGAGTTTGAATAACAGATATAGGGACAGATGCTGTTTAGACCAACAAAAATTAGCTGACTCAATAATAGCTGAATGTGAAAGGGTTTGCATTTATTACCGTTACCCTAACTGAAAGCATAGTTAATATTTAACTATTTTAGGTGAAAGATGAAGTGGAAGAAAGAACAGATATCAACAAAAAGGAAACAGATCACAAATTCGAGGAGCGAAAATTAGATATTGAATTCAATACGACTGAAATAAGAAATCAGAGAAAAGAGGTGTGTATCGAAATAGATAATCTCAAAACCTACATGGAAAGGATCAAGGATTGTTTGGATGCACTCGAAAAAAATGCCAGAGTAATTTGTCAGAAGTGCATAATTCTCAGGGAAGGGCGCATTGGGATTGATCTGGTAAGTTTGCTAAGCTTTTTTTTGCTGTTCTAATAGTTGAAAGCTTAGTGCTACGATGATGTGGAAAGAGAACTAAAAAAGGAGATTGATGTGATCGAAGGCACTCAAGGAATGTTGGGCAAAACTCTTCAGCAAGCCAACGAACAAGTGAGAAGGCTAAAATCCACCATGTACTTTATGGACAGAGACTTGGAAGATAAGGGAAATGTAGCTAAAATTGACTATCAAAACAGCATTTTAAAGCAAACCAGCCTTAATCTTAGCCTATACCATGGATTCACTCCGTTAAATAGAGGGTATGAGATTTTTACGAACGAAAATATATCTACTATTCACAATTCAAGCATTTAATTTATGTGGAAAGAGTGCGATTGTTCTATTGCGCGCCTGAAATTTGCTTTGTGGATTTATGACTCGGCAAATCTTGAAATTAAAACTGTGTCCCAGGCATTCATAAATTTTCCGATATTTTAATAGCAAGCAAATAATGGTACAATTTGTAGTATATGTATGTACATACTCTGTTCGGTTAAAAGTTTCTATTACCCAACAGCTGAAGCTGATCAGACAAAATAAACTTAATCAAAGTAGGTATTACTCCCATGCGCATAACGAGAAGAAAAGTTTTCAAAATTTTCGACAAGGAGAAAAATTCCAACACAAAAATGTAGTTCATAATGGTAATCGTTTTTCGGGTTTGGAAGCCGTAAATGAAATGTTTTCTTAACGTTTCCGCAGCATTCCAGACTTGCATCTTCAAAATTTTATATTTATTCATGGGGTGGAATGACGAAGTCAAAATATACTAACAAAAAATGGGCCTGAGTATCCGCTATTGGAGTTTTAAATAATTTGGGCAAATATAAATAATTTAATTTTGCGTACTTCTCGACGAAGTTCCTTTAACTTGGTTATTAACATACATTCTTGGTAATATTTTCTTACTAGAAATAGCTTGTAAAAGATAAGAATTATAAATTTTTGCTTTCCTTCGCTTTTTTTAAATTTTATCAGCTCAAATCGAGAACAGTTAACAAATCATTAAATATTTCAAAAATCGATACACATAGTTAAATACTCTTGTCAGTAAAACCAATAGGAGTCAAATCAGTAGTTAAACAATCATCTAAGAACGAAAAATTTGAATGTTTCAATGGAAAGATGTTTTTTTACTGGCTGGAGTCTTCAAATTATAGATTAAACTGCTTATTATCAGCTATTATTTTCAAGATATATTTGCATATTAATATGTAGGTAAGTTGCTGCAAAATAAAAATTAAAACTTTTGCTTACATTTACCACAAATCTGGGTTATAATGACATACTTTTGATGAGAACATGAGAACATTATGACCAACAGAAATATATGCTGTTAGAATAACAAAAGCTTAACAAGCATACATACGTACATTTTGCAAACTTATTTGGTAACTCTCGAGAAGTTACAAATTGAATTTCAGACGTGTATAGAGAATATGAGCACCTGAAAATGAGTTTCTGAGTCATCAAAGTCAATCCAGATTGGCGATGATTCGCTTGTGCGTACCTACTAAGTTTAGATATTTATTAAAAATGTTTCTTTATCTCAACCCGTATTAAAATATTTTGTTATAATACATATTGTAAAAACTGTGTTTAATTTAGATTGAATAATTCAACTGTTTTCAATTATACGATGTAAGAAAGGTGTTAAAAAAGAACACAGGGATAATTAGCGCCATTTGAGAGGACAGAGTTAAAGCGCTTATTAGGCAACAAAAGTTTCAATTATACAAAAAATTGTATCGATAGGACAAAAAATTTAATAATTCAACACACAGGTAAATTAAGGGGTTTTATGCGCACACAAACGATGAAGCCCTTTTCAATGAAAATTCCCAGTGTGCAATAATAACATTTTGTAGAATTATAACGAACGAAGAATGGGAAGAATTTACGAAAAATAACATCGAAAAAGCAGCAAAAGAAATTAACTCCGCCCGACAATTAAGAGCATACACCGATATTATCATTAAACAAGCCATAGACGATCTTTGGAATCAATATAACGCAGTAAATAGCGCTTTTAAAAGGAGAATTGCTGAAATTCGAGAAGCAAAAACGAAAATGGAAGTACAGCATTCTGAAGTAAGTTTTATGCTAAATAGTTTCATGCATTTACTGCATTGTGTTATAAAATGACACTTTGAAATTCCATATAAACCTCTATCTCGGCTCTAGAGCGTTTTTAAATTCATTAGCACACTAGTGTGTAAAAATTAAAATTAAAAAGCATTTAGTGAGGAAATACAAATTTTAAGTGGGTGTATTTTGCCTTCAATTTTGAAAGTAATTATTTTTAGATACTCAAATAATCATTAAAACAGTACTCGTTTTAATTGCCGGTAAAATATTGTACGTAACACGAAGGATATTATGTTATTAACCCATTTCCGAATTAAAATTACATTTTGAATTTAATTTAATCAAATAATTTAAATAATTTCTGACAATCTATATATATAAAATTCTCGTGTCACAGTTTTAGTTACCATACTCCTCCGAAACGGCTTGACCAATTTTGATGAAATTTTGTATGTATATTCAGTAGGTCTGAGAATAGGTTGTTATCAATTTTTATACCCCTAAGTGATATGGGTGCTGCCATAAACCCCTATCTTTTAATAGCTATATTAGTAATTCAATAAATTTAAAATAAAATTAAAAAAAATCTCAAGTGGGCAAACCTCCCACTCGAGATGAAAAAAAACCCTAGGAATAATTTATATGGCAATACAACGTTTGCCGGGTCAGCTAGTTTAATTATAATTTCATACGCGTGCCTTAATAATACTCATATCCTACTTGCTACGCAAATGGCTGTGAATATATTTCCAAAATTGGGCGTTTTAGATTGTTCGACAAGCCAATGAAATGACCAGAACGGTTACAAGTTTGGAGAAATCTTTGGCAGAAAAAGAAGGTTATATGGCTTTGGCTCATACGAGGCTCGGAAATAGAGCTCAACGTCCTGGAATGGAATTATGCAAAGATTTCGTGGAAATCGCTCTAACCAATGAGGTGGCCGAATTGCGAAGAAATTGCACTTCTTTGCAACATATGCTAGCAGAGGTAAACGTTTCAGCGCTTTGATTGGACCATCTTAATAAATGACTCTATTTCAGGCTCATGCGTCTCTTCGTTATCTACTCAAAACGCAAATTCAACTGGAAGAAGACTTGAATGTAAAAACCAACTCGTTAAAAATAGACGAAGTCGATTGTATGACACTGAGAGACAGCATGGACTATCACGCATTTTAATAAGAAAACTAATTTCAAAAATACACTTACTCCTTCTGTCAATAAATCCCAAGTCGATTTCGTACCAATTTCCAGAAAAATGCAAAAATGTGTAATTCAAGTCCCGTTACTCTGTGCCTGGACTAAAGGATTTTCATCTAATAACAGGCAATCAGTGGTTTGAATGGTAGATTTTCCGTATTGCCATTAATGCCACATTCGAAACTCTGATTGGATGCTTAAGCAGGTTTAATTAAGGGACAAAGTAGGTACATGCAGTCAAGTAATTGTATGCATTTCAATTAATAGAGAGGTAAATTGAATAAATGTGAGAACTAGAAATTTGTTATTTTTATTAATCATATCTGAGTTTTCATTGTGCATACTTTTCAATGGGCCTTTGTGATAACTTAATTTTTTCTGCTTTTTGTTTGTCCATTTGCAAATTCGTTTCGGAAGATTTAGATAATTTTAAAATATTTGAAACAAAAGCAGACGACATATCACAGATGGTTGTATGCCAAAGAACAAGAATAGAAAAGAAGAGATAATAATATAATAACCGAACGTAAATCTACGGTAATAGAAGAAATAAACTCAAACTGGGAAAATAAATAACAGGAACTAGATACCTATTGAACAATTAACTTAGAATATACTAAAAAGGCCATACACTATTCAATAAACAATGCGCATCAGGTGCCGATGAGGAAATAAACGCAGAACTAATCAAAATTGGACAATTAAGAAAAGAAAGATTGTAACAGATACAATTTAAATAGAAAAGAAGAACAACATCACATAATCGCGCTTTCTTATTAATAAAACACTCGCAATGTTCCATATTAATTATAATTTATTTACAATTAGAAACATTATTTTATATTGATTTTTCATATGGAAAGGCGAGTCCAGAGGTTTTTAATTCACACCAAAATTTTGGGAAAAATGTATTTAAATTAAAATTAGAATAATAACTATTATTATATTATTTTCTTTACTGGGCTCCAGTCACAGTGTGAAACATTTTTTTTATATATTGTTTATTTCGTTACGTTTCGGCGAGACAACAGCGCCATTATCAGATTTTAAAATTCATTCAAACTCATAATTGGTAAACATTATATTCATTTAGGTCTTTTCTGTCTTGAAACTTAAAAAAAAATAATATAATAACAATTACACGCAGTCAGGAAAATAAATCAAAATATATCTAATAATAACCATCAGCAATAAAAGATTATCTTTCAAATGTAAACCGCCAGACAGTTAATTATGAAAATAACTAATAGGCAAAAAGCTTTCTTTGATCTTTTGCCTAAAAAATTATGATAATTTTTGTCTGATTTCTTTTCCGCTGCTTAACTAAATATTAAGTAAAAGTTACTTCTTTTTTCAAATTCAAATTTCACAGTTTGTTCAAGGAAAATATTAGAAAAATAGATCAAGTGCAAAACACTGGCCGCTATCTATAGGTACCAAGTTTGTGTGGAAAATAATAAGCTATGACAAAAACCAAACTAGCTATAAATTGCAAAATAACAACTTTAATTTAATAAAGCAAGGTAAAATTTTTTTTCGTAACTTAAAATTTGTATCTTAACGTTATCCATATCAAATTCCTAAACTACTCGGTTTGGTGGATTGTGTAGTGGTTTAGGGTTTGTGTTTTTCGGTTCAGTTCCAAAAAAATCAGTTCGGGTGTTTTACCATCTTCACTTCACTGAATTTTTATTTGATGTCTATTGTTATTCTTAGGTATTTCACATTGTCGGTGAATTTGGTTATTTGGTTGTTTGTTGGATCGGTTTGGTTTAATTTGATGCTTTGAAAGGCACAGTTGCTTTTTGGATTAACGTTAAATAAACTAAATGAATAATCACCCTCTCTATGCTCTGTAATTATTGTTCAGTAACGAGAGAGTAAGCAAATAATTGATTTTTTTTGTAAAATCATTGCATCATCATTTGTGTAGGATAGTTCTTTTAAATGTTCATTTCATTGATTATTTTTTGTTTATATTTCATAATTAATTGTATATTATATTATCATTATAGCGCTGCATTATCGGTTCAATCCGTTCAATCCTGCGATGGAGACATCAATCGTTTCGACTTCTAAACTGCAATCTTGCTATTTTTGCTTTATGCGGAAAGATTAATGGAGCTCATCAGGACTCTACAGTAATTTTGAAGAGTTCCTTCAGTACGTTAAGTTTTCGGGGGTCGACGATTCGAGGATGTAAAATTAAGCCCTTGTTTTTCCATGCCCAGTCTCCCTTGCTAGGCTATAAAAAGAATGCGTATGTAAAGTGAGGTTCGGAAAATTCGCCCGAGTTTCTGACATCACAATCGATCAACTTATTTTGGCCTGTCTTGTGGCGAGCACGGATAGCCAAGCTTTCTTCGGTTCTTCTAGACAAATACTCTTTGCCGGAATTGGAATTAATTCACGCTTTCATTAGTGACAGCTGCCAAACACAGATGATCATGAAAATAAAAAAAATGCAGAGCATACAAAAAACTGGTTTGCAGTGCGTCCCATAGTAGAAATTGTTTTCTTTGTCCATCGAATCAACAAAGAAGTGCACTTAGGTGGTTTCAGAATGACAATTTGCACGATATTTGAAAAGTGGTTATATTGAGTGAGGTCTTTGATTTAAGTGAAATGGCTGCAAGGAATAAACCTGGAAATAAGCACGATGACCACAGCGTTGAGGTAATTATACAGTATTTTGTGTATTATTTTATAATATATGTTCTCATTTAGTAACAATTTACCTGCTTTTTATGTCATGTTGTATGTCAAAATCATTTGTATATTTTTGTATGAAAATATTTTAAGAATGGATTGTTACAATGGTTCTGCCTCTGAATCTGTAAGTGTTTAAAGAACATTCGTTTTGAATCTAAATAGTGTGCTAAATAATAGTGTATACGCATTTTACAGTGGTGTTATTCACATAAATATACTTCAGAAGCATTTATTTATTCAGGAGTAAATTTCTTTCTTTACCTTTTGCATTTTTAACTTAAAAAATTTAGTAAAAGAGGACTAAAAGCCTATACTTAGTTGTAACTTATAGCCGTATTCGGCCCCCATAGATTTTGATTAATTTCTATTGGTCCCATGCAATTTGAAAACCGCTGGAAATACCGCACCGATAGTAGGCCTGGGTAACTCAGTGAATTTTTAGGAGTTGGCGCAGTGCTACTTGTTGCGCGAATCCAACGCACTGGCGCAGTAACTCAGTTCCATTCCTGGGAAAATGTTGATGACTATTTTTACCTGTTTTTAGATTTATTTTAAGGATTTACCTTTTATTAATAATATTTTTAAAATGTCTTGAACATTTAAGAAGTTTCCAGTTTTAGCCAAGTTACTCTTTCTTCTAAATGTTCAATTTTATAAAGTTTCAGTGACAAAGTTAAAGTATTTTTCCTGAAAAATTATAAAATAAATTTCCAATTTTTGGTTGCTTTGTAAAAAGTTGTGAAATCCCTTTCCAGCGTCGAATTTGGAACAAAAATCAAATAATTTTCTATTAAAAACCGAAAGTTTATAACAGATTATGTGTAAATCTCGTCACCTCGAACGAAGACTGTAGAGTTTGTTAAAAAAAATGTAGTTTTTTAGTTTTGACTGATTTTTTTTGCTTTGCTTTCTACTTAAAAACGGTCTAATTTGTTTGTTTAGTTTTAGAGTTTCACGTAAAAATACTGACTATCTGGAGGTCCTATACGCGAAAAATTACGAGATAAATTTATAGCTTCGTATTATTATTGATTCGAGATAAAACAAAAATAAATTCCTGCCGTTTTTCCCGAAAACCATTAAAGTTTTCTCCCAAACCGATCACAAAACTAAAAGTTGTTAGTCGAAAACGCAAAAACACATTATTTTCTGATTTCCTTCTGTTCTGACAATAATGGGGTCTTTTCAGCCAAAAATGACAAAAATAATTTTGCCAGAAAATTCGCCTCATTCATCGGTTAGCAGGGAACTTTAGAAAACCATTTCCAGCTTCGAATTTGACACAAAAACCAAATAATTTTATTCAGTTTTTTACCGAAAGTAATTAAGATTATCTTGAAAAAACGATCAGAACAAAAGTTTACAAAAAATATTTGGAAAATTCGCCGCCGTCAGCGCTCTGAAGATCTTAAAAGTTCCTTTAAATTTTCAGGTCAATCTAGTTTTCACAAAGCTTCTATTAAGCAATGCTTTCTAACAAAAAATCGGATTATTTTTTAGTTAAAATACTGACACTGTATTTTCTGTGAAAAATCATAAGATAAATGTTATTGCCTCACTTACCTCCTTAACCGATTTGCAAAAATGTTTGGATAAAACCCTAATAATTAATTCTCAGTCTTCCAAAAATATTTCCCCGGACTGAAAAGGCGAAATTTTATAATAATTTATTTGGAAAACTCTTGGAAACTGGGGTTTCTTCACTTTTAGGTCAATATTTCTAAACAACACTGTCTCGAAACAGAAAAGCCTAACGTTTTACTGTAAAATACTAGAAAACTGAATCTTTTATGCAAAAAAATTAAGAGATCGATTTCAACTCAGTTCTGTTGCTGGGAAAATCTAAATAACTTTTTTTTTGTTTGAACAAATAGTATAACGTTACTCAGATAAAATGTTGATCACTTATTTTAGATGTGAAAATACCAGTCTCGGGTCTCATAAAGCTTTAATAAATGACTTAAAACTCATTAACCGATGAGTTATAAATCGTTCTCAGAGAGCGGCAACAACTCAATTGCGCAACTCCACACAGTGTTACCCAGGCCTAGTTGTAGGGAAGAGAAAAATAATAACATATAGAGCGTTAGTTCTAATTGCTCTATTTATTGCGGTGAAGATAATTAAAAATTACACTACTTTTAAAATGGACCCGCCTGTATATTGGTGCACAAAATGTTGGACACAGCCGTGAGGAAACCTAAGTGCTGGTTCCGCTATGTGGATGACACTTTTGTTGTTTGGGGCCATGGTCTGACTGAACTGGAAGACTTCCTGAGGCACCCCAACTCAATAAACCCTAAAATTCAATTCACTATGGAAGTGGAGAAGGATGGGCGACTGCCTTTTTTGGATGTCCTGGTGACCAGAAAAGCCAACGGAAAGCTGGCCCACACAGTGTACAGGAAACCGACACATACCGACCGGTACCTGCACAGTGGTTCAAACCATCACCCCAGTCAAAAGAGAGGAGTCATAAAAACTCTCACCGAAAGAGCCAGAAGAATCTGCGAACCAGACGAGTTAGAGGGAGAATTAAAACACCTGGAAAGGGCCTTTGGTTGGAATGGATACAGTAAGAAAGATTTCAATAGATCAATTCGACCAAAAAACAGTGAAGATCGCTCGGAGACAACAGAGACGCATGATGAGCATAAGAGTTGGGCTTGCCTCCCGTACATACATGGAGTCACGG